TTATTCCAAGGGAGCAGCATTGCGGCGTACGCTTCCGACTGGCGACTGCCAATTGCCGCCTGCTGGCTGTGGTCAGTTTTCGTGCAAAAGCAATTCAATTCAAAGTAAATTCCCAGTACAATATGACAAACTATTTTGGCGCATACATATACTCTCATGCATACACACACACACACACACATAGGTATGCCTTAATATGTTGGCAATGGTGGTTACACTTTATACATAGCAGCATACTTTTGGGCATTGCTGCCTTTTAATTGACTTACTGACATGCACACACACACACACGCAAATGCTGGGAATTGTCGAAAGTCACACTCATACAAGCTCACCTTTTGAAAAGATGTATGTAAATGTCTAAACAAATCTCCGTGCAACAAACAAAGTCTCTGATTGTCACTGTGATCGATGTGTTTTGTCTGGTTTGTTGCTCTTCGAATGCGGTTGAAATTGTTTTCGTAGCCGATTTATCGAAATAGTGACACAAAAACATATACACACACACATGCTGGTATGCCAGTGTATACATATTTAATTGTTACAAATTTTCATTAGACCCAAAACAAATTTAACGCTTCATTGAGGTGATAATGAACTGCACGCCGACTAGTTTTGTACTGTTGCATAGGCCCATATGTATTTGCGAGTATATGTGTGCTTTGGTGTACATGTTTTGCAAGTTAATTAGTTTTGCTTGGTTCTATTTAATTGGATTTAAATTTGTTGTGCATATATATAAGGAATAGTTGTTTTTTTTGGGTATTTTTGTTTTAATCTGCTTATATATTTGGCTTAAATCTGAATTGCTAATCATTGAATTAGCCGTAATGAGGCAATGAGATCCATAGTAGCCTATTTATGTACATTTAAAAGAAAAAACGACATGTGATCCCATGTCATATTCTCACGATATAATGTGAAGATAGCTGAAATGAGTTTCGTATATTTTATCAAGGTACATTTTACTTCTGTGCCAACTACCACCAATTAGAAATGACAAGTCCTTCTCCACCTGGGGTCTACTCTGTAATGCTATTCGAAAAGAAGGCCATTCGGTTTCGAATACTTGGCACTATGAATTTGTATTAGTCCGTTTCGACTGACGAATCGCATTGAATTTCGAATTGCAATATAGAGTAGGCCCTAGGGTTTTCTATCACAGAGTAGACCTCGCTTTTACTTTTCTACTACTAGCGAGTTAGGAGTTTAATACTTTCAGAGCTGGAGCGTGTTTATCCATTGGTAGGGCCGAGCCAGTAGAGCCGGTGCATTTTCATCCGTCCCACTATGTCTATGTCATTTAAAGACACATTCTCCGGCGTTAAACTTCCGAAGAATCTTCATCATCCACGTTTTTGCATCCTGTACCAGTATCGTTATTTTAACGACATATAAAGTGTGGTTTTCATATGACGAGAAGGACTCTTAATTCTCAATTGCCTACTCCGTCCCAACAAGCACTTGTTGCCAACAGCGATGCTTCGTTGGATTTAAGACTGGCTTTGTAATTGGTGATAATTCGCGTTCTAGGCGCTTTGCTTTTCTAGTGAAATTCGAGAAGCATAACTGCACGCTCTTATCGAAAATTATTCCTAATTATGGAAATTATTTCTGCGGTTCCCATTATCTTCTCCAACTAAGATTAAAGAAATCACAAGAAAGGGAATCACCTTGCAAATTCTGATGGAGCTGCTGGTGTAGTTCAACGCCTGTTTACACAGCCGTGTTAGTTTCTCCGAGGATACCAAAGTAGGCTGTGGAAATGCTCCCGCTATAATTTGAGCTTACTCGGACGATTGCCGAATGAGTCGTCGTAGTTATTGTTAGAGAAATTCATCTTTTTCTTGATACCTTCAGTAAGCAGTCGAATTTCTGTTTAAATTTTTAAGCGTTTTTACCATCGGTCATTCAAGCTCTTCGCAAAATGTGAAATGGGATTGCAGTTTTCTTGATATTTTTTTTTAACTCACAGAGCCTTCCGCCTATCTGAGCTGCAACAAGATGGAGCCAGCTACTAATGGTGGCTGCCCCGGTCGCTCTCTCAAGTTCTGAAGTTAGAAATCGCAGGCGAGGTTTCAAGATCTGGATCGCTTCCCCAAGTCCCATATCAGATTCCTTTCTAGCAAATTCGTCTGTTTCCTCAATTCCGGGGACACCCATATTCCCCCGGGACCCAGTAAAGATTGAGTATGTGTTGCTATAGAGATTGCAGAGATCCTCGACATTCCTTAACGCATATCTAGTTAGTTAGTATTTCCTCTATACTAATATATGATTGATTTGGTTACTCGTTTTTTTACCACAAGACAGTTTAATGGCTCTTCTTATACTGAAATCTAGACTATTATATTTAAGGCTCAAGCGAAGTCAATAATACGCAATCCGTTATCGGATGCTGCGTTATGGAAGCCAAATTTTCCGACCTTATGACCTAAGATTCCTCCTTTACTTCTTTTGTATCGGGATAATCGCTAATAGCAGAGATGTTTGTACGCCATAACCTTCTCCCCAACGAGAAGTAGGCGCAAATGAGTGGATTGTTGATCTTCAACTTTCACTTTGATGCAGATTTTGGAGAGACTCACCTTTAGCGGGCGATGATATCTCTATTCCACCATAAAATCCCACACAGAATTTGTGCTGTTATAGACGTCGCCGGGTCCCATATTTTTTCTACCCTGCCCTGCCCATCGCATTTCTTGGATGACGTTGATATCAGCCACTCTGAGAACATCAATCTACCGGGCATTGCAGGGGCATACCCTTATAAATCATAGTTCTTTTAACGTTCTCACCACGGATGTGATGCAAGAGTTGGAATTAAGTATTTTAGCTAAATATCCAGAAGCTTCATCATAGTTCACTGCACCAAGTGTTTAGACTGGAATTTTTTAGAGCAAATCTGGGAGGTTATTTTGTGTGTTTGCAAAGCTGCATTCTAGTATGGAATCAGCAGTGTAACTTAAATCATCCTTCATAAGCTCATAAGCACAGCTTTGGCTTTTTCTAGTCGGCTACATTTTAAGGCAATTGTAACGATACGAATAATTTCCAGCTCAGATATTTGCACACTTGGTTATTTCATTTACAAATAAGATAAAGTTATTAATTTGCCTTAAAAAATTGATTAATAAAAATTCAATAATTTGCAGACTTCATTTATTAATTAATCACAGAGTAAATGAAAGCAGAGCGAAAAAATTAGCAAATGAGAGGAAGAGATCATTTACAAGTAAAGGCAAAAATCAATCCAGCAGCAGAGCTAAAGTAAGCGAGTTAATGAAGATGTATATTACGCGCTCATGCATACAAATGTAAATTTATTTAAACATTAATAAATTGAGTTTTACTTGAGCATCTGAGCGCACGTGTATGTGTGTGTGTGCCTGCGAGTGGAGGAAAAATTAACACGCTTAACATGCAGCGTGCATGAGAAAGATCATCAGCCAGCAGCTGCAGTGGCGGTCAAAAATGCACGAATGGTGTTTCGTATTTAATATTTACAATGTTTTTCAAGCTAAGATTTTTTGGAATATTTTTTTTTTTAATAAAAACCATATAAATCACACTTTAAAAGTTTATACAGAATTTAGAAAAATTCCATGCATTTTTAGCAAAAAAAAAAAAAATATTAAAAGTCAATACGATTTTTTAGCTGCTCAAAACTAGCACTAATTTCACTAAAATTTTATAATCCTGCTAACTGCATACCCAAAAAATTTAAAAAATTCTGGAAGCTCGAAATTTAGATAAAAATTTGTGAATTTTTTCTAAATTCTGAATAACGTTTGAAAGTGTGATTTATATAATTTTTCGTAAAGCATGAACCATATTTTTATAAACAAAATTCAAATAAAATGATTGCTTGAAAAACGTTGTAAATATTAAATATGGTGTTTCGTTCGTCCAATTTTGACCACCACTGTACGTTTCTATGTAGAAAGCTGGTGTGAAAATCTTTTGCATACATAAATACATAAGTACATATATACATATATAAAAGTCCATATAAAATGTGTTGATAAGCTTATTCAATTTTTAATGTATTGCAAATCCACTTACGTCCATATGTACAGTATCGGTCATATCATTAGCACCGCCAATTCAAAGTGATATTGTTTGCCATTTATGTTTATTTATTTATTTTAAAGAATTTTCATTTAAAAAACTTTATTTTCTAACGAAATCCATATAAACTCAAGTTTAAAATTTTGTAGAAAATTAAAGAAAAAAAATAAAAAAATTATACCCAAATTGCAAACTTTTTTTTCAAATGTGTTAGAATTTTTTTGAGACCCCATTCAATTTTATTGCAATAATATGCAAGTTTAAAGGGGATAAAAATTACTGCTGATTTTCTTTTTCGCCGAAGGTACTGCGGTCTTCGTTCATACATATATATGAATGCAAAAAAATATATGTATAAAAATCAGCGTTAATTTTCAACAACTTTCAGCACTTTACTACATTAAAATTGAATGGTATATAAAACTGTGTACTCAAAAAAAAATATCCAATATTTCTCTGAGAAAATAGTTTGAAATTTGGATGGAATGGGTCGATTTTTTTTTAGTTTTCTGCAGTTTAAAACTTGCATTTATATAGGTTGTGCTGGAAAATGAACTGTATTTTAATTGAAAATTTCTAAAAATAAATAAATAAACATAAGTCGAAAATAATATCACCTTGAAATAGGGGTGCCAATGATATGATCTATACTGTATATATTTATTTAAAAGTGTCTTTGCTTGTTTGTACGGCGTGTAACGTGTACGTGCTTGTAATCGATGATGTGGTAATTTCTTTATAACACATTCAATTTAATCGCATTTTTATTAAATTAAAAGCAATAAACTTCTGCAGTGCATATATATGTATGCATTGATGCGATTGCTTGCATTGTGTATGTATGTTTATGTGCGTGTTATGACAAATCAATGTTGGCAAAATTAATGAAGTTTTCATTTGTTAATTTTTTTATTTTTCTTTAATTGCAGATGTGTTGCGAAAGCATGTCCAATGTATTAATATCGCTGAAATGAACTGAAAAAAAAACAACGTACACAATTGTTGGGCAAATGAACGACGTGGATACTCAAATGTTCATTCGTAAACGGGCTTCGCTTACGAAAGAATAGCCTGCAGGCTAGCCAAGGAAGCAAATGCTGGAAAAATTGAATCTTCCACGTATTTCTTAATAAAATAAGTTGATATACTTTTTTTTTAATAAATATTTTTTATAGAAACATACCTAACCTCTGATATACAAATTTGTATATTTTCCATACTTATGTACATACTTATATAGTTACGAAAATTAACTTTATTTAAGCCTACTCAAACATCTTTCGTTTTACGTAAAATTTCTAAGAGTTTGTTTTGCCCATCAGTTTATTTATTCAAATTTTCATGCAGATGGCAACCCAATTTTGACAATTTTCACAGGCAAACTTTAACTCTTATATTGCTAAACCCTTATTTACTCTAAAATTTTGATTTGACTCATGGCAACACTGTACAAAACTTTTTTCGTGCACAACAAAACTTTCCGATAAAAGTTTAAATTTGATCATTTTAAAAACTTGATATATATTTTTTTCAAACTTATACTTGTTTATTTGATTAGTAAGATGGTAAACAGGTGGCAACTTTTTCCAAAAAAAAATAACTTTATTTAAGCTGTCTCAAACACTAATTTTTTCGTGAAAAATTTAAGGTATTTTATTTTACCCAAGTTTTTAATGTTTAATTTTTCTCGCATAGGTGGCAACTCAGCTTTGTATCAAATTCTGAGAAAAGTATGCTGTATAGGTGTGTTAAAGACATTGCACTATTT